ATAGAAAGTTTGGAATTGATCCATCTGTTGAAGAATGGCTCTTTCTTAACTTTAACAACCCAGAACCCTCCAACCAAGCACAGGAGGTGGGCATCTGTTCACATGAATGGGGGGCAGATATAACAACATGACAGAGATTCATCTGAAACTTCTACACTTCTTCCACTGGAACTCCAAAGAAATCAACACATCTGTAATCCCTAGTTTGCCAGACTCAAACTAGGGATTACAGACCTTCAGAAAGCAGAGAAGCAGGATTTGAAGCTGAATCCAGGCTGCTTCTGTCCCAGATTTTACACACAGATTGTTCTTTGCTAAGAACCCATCTGTCGATGCAAATGTAATAATTTTTGGGCATTAGATTATCCAAACAAGATTTGATTGTTAAATTTCTCATGATTAGTCAGGCTCCTTAAATAAGCTCTAGTCTCATTATTTCTTTATTTTGACTTAGTATCTGGAGTCTTCAGAAAACCTTTTATGTCACTTTATTAACTTGACTGTTTCTGACTAACATTTGCAGTATTATGACACTAGATTTGCTAAAACATGGAAAAGGCTGAGGAAACGTTTTGTGTAGAACAGGCCTCTGAGGTGGTTAATAGATTTTAAAATAATTCTGGGAAGAAACTCGGATCAACATCCGTGTCTGACTTCAAAAACATTTACACCTTTTAAAATGCCTTTCCAGAAAGTTTAAAATCGGTGTCGCCACAAAGGTTGGGCCGCCATCATGGTCAATAAGGGTGTGATAAGGCGGACATTTTGCAAGGTAGTCAGCATCCCTCATGGCAACAAAAAGAGCCAGAACGACGACAGAATCAATTTGGTCTGAAGAAATGACAAATAAAAAGAGCATGCAGTCTTCCCAGTGTTTGGAACATTATTTTAAAAAAAGAATCAAGTTAAAGTTATGTTTCCAAAAAAGTCACTGAGGTAATAACTCAGTTATTGTAGAATTAAAACAACTAGACAGGCTCTGTTCTTGAAACTCCTCTAGAACCTCTGGAGATTATTTCACAAAGGAGGAGTCTTTATAAAGTGAAGAACATTATGGATAAGAGTCACCATCTGCTTCAGAAGATTTTTAAACAAAAACAGAGAATCTTCAGTCAGAGGCCTCTAGATATCTGGTGCAAGACAGACCTCTACAGAAATCCTTCCTGCCTGCAGCATCAACACCTACAACAACAATGGCTACGTTTACATGGACACAACTAATCGGATTGAAGGCCTGATCAGATCAAAAATGTTTCATGTAAACATGTCAGACTGAAGATTCTAATCCGATTCGGTCCGATCGGATCTAAATTTAATTCCGAATGAGAGAGGTGGTTTTTGCCGATCGCCATTCCGATTGGCGTCCATGTAAACACCCATTCGGATCTTAAGAGTAAAATAATCTTCACTGCGCATGTGTGCGACGTCAGCGTGACGTTTTTCTGCCTTGTCAACAACAGGAAACCACCGGTCGCTCTCGCTCTCGCTGTGAACAACATGGCGGGAGGAGTCTAGGAACGCCGACTTATACACTCAAGTTCATTTAAAGCTGCAGGAAGCAGGAATTTATCCTCCTCCTCTTCCTCTTTTCTCTCTCCACAGCCCACTCGCTCTCCCACGCCGGTTCAATCGCTCATTCTCTACATTTTCTCTCGTACATTTCGCTGCCAAGCGCTTTTTTCCTCCTCTCTCCTTTTTTCTTTCCGCTCGCTCCGAGCGCATCGTTTGTCAGGCCTCCCAAAAACCAGACGCAGACAGAACTGCCAAGTTTGGCAGGAAGTTCTGCGCATGCTTAAAAGATTTAATCTGATCCAACGCTTGGTACATGTATACACACGTCATGATCGGATCATTTCATTTAGTGTCCATGTAAACGGAGATTTTGAATTTCCGATCAACCAAGGTTTGGATCGGATCGGGGAAATTTTGCGCATGTAAACGTAGCTAATGACGAGTTGCTGCAACGTTTAATTTCCCTTAGCGGTTAATGAAGTACTTTTGGATTGAATTTAAAAGGTTCTGCTGGGAACAGAAATTTAAAGTCGCCTCCTCTGAACCAAGCTGCAGTTTTCATGTGAAGAAAAGATGGAAACTTAGAGATTGTCTTTTGTATTTTAAAGTGAATGTTGCCTGAATGGACCAAGTCAGTGGAGATATGGCAGAAGAACATTGTGGCTTAAAGGGTTAAATGTTTTCCCAATTAAATGACGGTGCCTTGCCGTCTTAGTATACATTATTATTCTGCATTTTACACCGAATGTTGCTTCATTTGTTAATGAATTTAAGCATTTTTGGGATTTAGCATTATCAGACCATATACCAATGTACTTTGCAGACAACTACTTGGTGTTTATTGCTTTATTCTAACATGAAAATTGGATCTAGCATTTTTGGTTAAGGCATATTAGCTGAATAGGCCCCTTTAAAGCTGCAGTCATTGTAAAAAGGTAAAGGAATCCCCACTTAAGCTAAAGGTTGAAGTATTTTTGTCAATCCCAGAGCGTAGGCGTCCTTCAAGACGCTATATTCACAGCATATAATATGTCAATCTGCTCCAAAATGTCCCTTTACAAGGCGATGAAAAATGGACAAATGTGCAATATAATTATAATGTATTTCTTCAACTTTTTGGTCTGACAAAGCTTTCATATTATGTTACAATACCATAAGTTATAGTTAAACATCAGGTCTAGCTGTCAGGAACAGATGAACCACCAACGTGTAGCTTTATGTGGATTTTAAGGACGACAAGGAGACGTTTTCTGACGGCTTTGAATATAAATATGAGAAAAATAGATACATCTGTGCAAACCTAAGACATTACAATCCAATAATTGTATTGGTTAAAAATAAAAAAGCAAGGTATCCACGGAAACGCATATATGCATACTTTAAATGATCATTAGTGTTGAATACATATTAAAACCTTGTTATTCTTTAATCCTATTAAAATACAATCTTAGTCCTCCAATAAATTGGATCCCTCAGGTCCATCGGTATAACCAGTTATCCATTAGCATTACAGTATTCTCTGCATTAGGGGAGGGGTGGCCTAGAGGTTAGGGCATTGCACTTGGATCCCAGAGGAGTTCGACCCCCACTCCCACAGAATGCCACTCTGGGTCCCTGAGCAAGACCCTTAACCCCACACTGCTCCCCGAATGCCGCACAATTGCAGCCCACTGCTCCCCAAGGTGAGGGGTTAAATACAGAGAGGGAATTTTGTTGCTTTGTAATGAAGATAAAGTTGAATTCTGTTCTATTCAATTTAATGATAATAAAATATTCTGAAAGATTAAGCCAGGCTTAAACTGGGCATACAGCTACAGCTTACACTGTATAACAAAACCGCAGGGTTTAAAAGTTCTCAGCTCACGATGCTTGTTCCCACACTGTGACGCTCTGATGCGATCTACCTGCTCACACTCTACGTCTAAAAACCAAGTGGGACTCAGCCCCGCAGTGAGATGGCGCTACTGGGACTCGTCTATCTGGAAGCCAAACCAGTAGCAGAGGAACATGAAGCTCACTAGAGTGAAACGCGCTGCCTTGGATATTTGGGCAATTTAGTGCTGAAAGCCCTAAAAAGAAAAGGAGACGACGTATTTGGACAAAGACATGGCTGAGCTAACGTGGCTACTACGGTCTGTCAGTTTGACAGAAAGAACTCCATTTCACTCACTGCCCCCCCACCATGATGCTGGGTTTATATCTGATATGAAGAAGAAGAATCCTTTTTTGCCCACTGAGTGATTTGCCCACCTCCACCTTACGACGGCCGACTGAATTTCAAACATGTTTGATTTTCTCCCGACCTACGATTCCTGATGGGGGGGTGGTCGTTAGAGGCTGATCTAACCTCGTTACCCCCTGTACACTACACCACGCACCATCATGCTGGAAGTCGGCCAGATCGAAAAATTCTCTCACAACTGGAGAATCGGCCTTAAAAGGGCAAGAAAAAAAAAATCTTACAGTGTACGCCCGGCTTTAGCTAACACCCCATCTAGCTCTAAAAGCCTTTTTTTTTCTGTCAAACTGTATTTCTCAAACTACTGTTGCCGCATCACTCCGTTTGCCTTTTCTGGTTTAGTTTTAGGTTTTCATCTGGTTAAAAGTTATGTGCTAAACAAAACTTTTTGTTAAACCAAACTAATTTGGCAGCGTTTTTAACCAATCTATATTTGTAAAAGGGCTAACCAATACAAACTGGTCACACTGGTCACCAAAATACTGGTTAAGTAGCATAGCAACTTTCAATAGCAGGTCTTGAACCAACAACCATTGGAAAAGAAGGCAATGAATTCCAGCTGATCTTTTTAAATTAGTAGCTTTTCCCCAGGAAGCAATACTAAATACTAATAATACAACTGAAACCAGTGGCTAGCTCAGATTGGATCATTAGATTGTTTAATCTAACTAAAATAGCTTTAACCAACTAGATTGGTTGGAAAAGCAACCAATCTATTCTTAGAATCTATCCAACTGACAGCAGCTCTCCTCCACATCTTGACTGAACACTGAGGCTCTTTAAACGTCTGTCGAAGTTGGCGGGCGATCTGAACCACTTCCTGAAGACGTCACTCGGCAGGAGCGAGTCTCCGGACATAATCGATTTTGGCCCCTCCCCTAAATGAAGCAAGCCTCGATACGCGATTCACTGAAACAACCCCCCCATTACTCCACACACACCTCCAAGCCTTTGCTCGTCTCATAACATCACCATTGTGCCCTGAGATCTACCATTGAGGTTCTACTTTTTCCTAATTGGGGGGGGGGGGGGGGGGGGTTGTAACCTCCATCACATTTGTCAATCAGCTAAAATAGACAAAGAACAGATGGAACATTGCATTTTGAATAAGAAAAGCTTGATATGGAAGTGTTCATTCATTCAGCGCCACACCTGGTCCCTGATTGGTTATCGCATCTCAAAAATACACAAATGAAAACTTTTCCACTTCTGTAAGTTTTGTATCCTTCGCTGGTTTGGCCAAACTTACTTTTGGAGAGCATTTATCTTCTCAGCTTTGATTCCTCGCAGCAGCTCTTCAAGCAGGTCAGGGCTTTCAGGTAAAGGAGTAGATGCAGGTTTTGAAGGTGTGTGGGTGAACCAGCCGACCAAGATACCAACGAGAAATATTCCCAAACCAGAAAGAAAGTATCTGTGCAGAAAAACAGGGAGGCGTCTCAGTACAAACCAGCAGAAAGGGGCAGAGAGTTGTGTCACGTTAGATAACATTATGTGAGCAACAACAGGACTGAAAAGGTGGATCAGAGTACAATGAAAATAAAGGGAATTTAATGAATTTATTATCTGAATTTGTGGAATGTATTATAGTAGATCTATGTTGCAGGTGGAAAACAGAGCATTATACATTCACTGTTGCAGGTGATATAACATTAACATTTCCTGTTATCTGGGTTGAGGATAAATTATATGAGAATTATTCATGCGTTTTACTGTTGCATTGCCCCCATAAAATGTCATCCTTAATAGAGAAATGAATAAAAAATGTGTTTGATCAGTCTGAGGAGAGCCGCTTTCCCTTTGACAATCCAAAAGGTTCCGTTGTCATTTTGCTGGAAATGTTTTCCGTCACACTGAAGAACCACAAAGACACGCAGACTAGATCACCGTAGCTCCTGTACTTCTATGAGGAACTGACATATTTCCCAGCCTAAAATGATTTTAAATATGTTGTTAACATTATATTTTTATCTTATTAAAATGGAGAAGTGTGTCAGCCTGATATGACATGGTAAATAAAACATCTTAATGGTTGTTTTATTACAGATAGTCTGGTGTCAGAGTGGACCTTTGACTACCTGAGTATGAAACCGTGAAGTCTCCTTTGCCCTTTGTGGCCGGCGGACCTGGTGAAGTGAGAGATGTAGTTGGGATCTTCTTGGAGTCGTTCGAATCGTCCATGAGGTGAAACTGAGACTGAGTTCGGAATCGGTTCCAGGGACTCCGGGTCAGGATCCGGACCAGGATCTGAGCAACCTGGAAGTCATTTATTACAAAATGTGTTTATTATATTAACATGCTGCTGCAGAAACCAAGAAAAAAGAATAAAATGAAACAAATCAGCAAGTTTACAAATCAGGGATGAAATCTAAGGGAAAAACAACAGTGTAGTGGAATAAAAAGGTGGTATATCTGGTTTTATACATCTTTTTTTTAACCTGAAAGATGTATTTAGGCCAATGATTGGGTCCATCAATGAAAATGAAAACTACCAGTGCTGGGAGCAGGTACCTTCTATTGATAAAGGACTTAAATTATTTGCAATTTAACACAAACTAACTGAGAGTAAAGTTAAATGCTTAGAGACAGATTCTGCAGAATCTATTAGTTCAATCTCTAACGTTCTGCTCTCTCTGCTTTTTCTCATAGTAGCTTCATCTGGTCTGTTCCTGTTTGGCTGTGACTCCATCCTGGAGAGAAATATCAGCTGTGCTGCTTCCATCAACACCTTTGTTTCTAGATGTTGGAGCTTGGCCTGTTTTCCAGTGTAGTCCTGTTTCTCTGACTGTGACTAACTGGATGTGCTCTCTCATCCTCTGACATGGGAGCTGGCTCGGAGCTCGTCTGCCTGGCTGTGTGTTTCCTGGACGGGGCCGCCTGTGGAGCTGGTTGACAGTTGCCTTTTGTATCTATGCTTCTTTTTCTATGTCTGCTTCTGTCTCCTTGAACCCCAGTGGGCCTCAGCAGATGGCCGCTCACACTGAGCCTGGTTCTGCTGGAGGTTTCTTCCTGTTCAAAGGGAGTTTTTCCTCTCCACTGTCGCTACAAGCATGCTTAGTGTGAGGGATTGCTGAAGAGTCAATGAGTCGATGCAATCAGCTGGTTTTCCTTAGATAGAAAACTTTGAATCAATCTGACTGGATGATCTGGTGAACTGGAAAGTGCCTTGAGATGACATGTGTTGTGAATTTGGCGCTATATAAATAAACTGAATTGAATAGAATTTATTTTATCATTTTTTATACACAAGAGTAAACAAAACAGAAAGAGGAGCTCTTTAAGCAATAATTGTTTTTAAAGTGCAGCCTTGAAACCAGTAATGTAAATGCATTCTCTTTACAGTTTTCAGGGCAGAGATGAAGCTAAGATAGAGGCCTATGTGATGCTGATTGGCTGACAGGACCTAATGTGGGCGGGGCTGAACATACAATGACTGCTCACACACCCTAACCCTCGCCAAAGGGAGAGATATGAGCCGATGGTGGATCTGCAGATTCAGAGGCTGTGAGCTCCAACCAGCCGCCCTAAGCCCTAAATCACTATATAGAGCAGAGACTTTATAGTGAACTCATTAACTGACCGTTCAGACAGATGATCACTGCTTTTCGCTTCCAGTTGGTTCTTAAGATAGATTTACAGAAAAGAGTTTTCAACAAAACAAAGGCATGTGGCAGATATTTGTGCTCGGTTCTGGACTGATAACATCTAACCAAATGAGATTAGCAATTTAAAAATAATGAACCTTCATCAATGGATGATAAATAGTGCATGAGGTTTAGGTCTATGCTATTATGCATGTAAAGAGAAAAAAGAGCAGAGAAAATAACTCTGATTTTTCTCTTATGATTATTTAATGGTTCACAATCATGAGAATCCACACTGAGTTCTCATTAGTGCATTAAAATGTTTTATAAAGTAGTTTCACAACAACTTAACAAGATTAGTATCAGTAAAGCCAAACTACCAGACAAACCATTCATGTTGTAAAGGGTTATATAAACCTCATAAGAACAAAAGCTGTGACCAACCTGATCTCTGACAGTCGCTGTGCTGCGTCTGCGTGCAGTCACCGCTTGCTCCTGCTTCCTGTAGCTCCTCCTTGTCCAGGTCCCAGTCAAGTTCCAAGGATCCAGAGCGGTGCAGAACTTCTCCATCCAGTGGCCCAGTCTGGGTGTCACACACTTTACTATAAGCCATGAAGTCACCTACAATACATAGACACAAAAAGAGACTTTTTTGTTATTTTCTTTTGTAAAGGTGTCGTTTCTAAAAACCTGTCTGCTGCAGAAAGAATAAAGTTCTGATGAAGTAAAGCTCTTTGAGGAAAAGCTACATCACCACACCGCAGCTCTTATGCTTCACTTCCCCATCTAGTTCAAACCGGGCCGTGGCGGTTCGAGAAAATATTCCAATTCCATTCAGTCTATTTCTATAGCTCCAATTCACATCATGTCATCTCAGGTCACTTTCCAGCTCACCAGATCATCCAGTCAGATTGATTCAAAGTTTTCTATCTAAGGAAAACCAGCTGATTGCATCGACTCATTGACTCTTCAGCAATCCCTCACACTAAGCATGCTTGTAGCGACAGTGGAGAGGAAAAACTCCCTTTGAACAGGAAGAAACCTCCAGCAGAACCAGGCTCAGTGTGAGCGGCCATCTGCTGAGGCCCACTGGGGTTCAAGGAGACAGAAGCAGACATAGAAAAAGAAGCATAGATACTAGAGACTGACATTTTTTCAGGAATCCCATGGGTCTCGGGATTCCCGTGGGATGAGAGTCAGTATTAGTAACGATCTCATGATTGGGACGGTACAGGATTAAACATAAATGGGAGCAGACGGGAGCAGGAGCAAACCAATAGTAACAAAAAAAAAAAAAAAACTAGGATCAATGCCAAAAAATAAAATGAAATAGAAAGAAAAAAAATCCAGTACTGGCGCCGCAATTTGTTGTTTTATTAGATAAGTAGTTGATTTTTCTCTTTAATTACATAGATGACTCCTAGATAGCTGCAGAGCCAGATAAACTCCATCCGATTAAATATTACAACTATTTCTATAATAATTCTCTTTCATTGAGGCATATCTTTTTGAATATTAAATTGCTGTATTTTGTTGTCAGTTTTCGGTTGATTTACTCAATTTTACATATTAAAGTAGGACATTCTACATGAAGGTGTCACTGCTGCCACCCTCAGGTTTAGAGGAGAACTGCTTGTTCTGGAGGAGATGAATTACGTCCACATGGCAACAACAATCTGCTGGTGAGGGTGATTTATTTTCCCCCCCCCCCCCCCCCCCCCCGGCCCTCCCTCTAGTGGAAGCAGTCATTTATTCCTCTAAGGACCGGGGGGTGAAGCTCCTGCTCCTCCAACCAATGAGTCAGTTTCACTCAGCAGAATCTGCTTCATCTAAACTTGTTTAAAGAAGCTAAAAACCATAAATCACAGAAAAGGTCACCGAAGCCCAAATGGTAGAAAAATCCAAGAGCTGACCAGAATAATTTCCCAGGGTGAGAAACTTTTAGATTTACAGCAAATCTAAAAGACAACATGTCCTACAAGCATCTGGACTTTCTTTTTTTAGTGGAGAGGAGGCCTACTGGTTAGAGCTTGGAATCCGGAGGTTCTCAGTTCAAGCCCGGCTCCAACTGACTGCTGCTCTGGGTCTCTGAGCAAGACCCTTAACCCCTCACTGCTCTCTGGGCGCCGCACAATGGCAGCCCACTGCTCCCCATGGAGAGGGGCTAAATGCAGAGAGGGAAATTCTCCAGTTTGAGATCAATAAAGTTCAGTTATTACTATTATTATTAACCGATCCATCAAAATCAGTCCCTCTGAGGTTAGGGTGTCTCAGCTGAACTAAACTGGCTGGTAACAAACCTCTGCTCATCTCAGCAGCTCCTAAGAATCATAAAAAATAAAAAACAACAACCCAAGCACAAGCTGGTAAAAAGACAAGATTGCTAAACTATTTGCTCATCTATTTTCAGAGTCAGATGAAATTGATCGACATCCTCTCCTTAATCCACAGGCTTTGTTATGATGTCAGCCCATCGCTGCAACTGCAGAAGCTCCAACGAAGAGGCCCAGCCTAACTTCTTAAGAACAAACATCCAATATAAAACCCTGTAATCCCTCCTGCACCCAACACCATGTAGTCAGGCAGGTTTTATTCTCCTGGCAACTGTCAGACTCAGACTTGTCCATAAAATTGCCAGACGGAGACGTGTGATTCATAGCTCCTGGGAACGTAGAATAACATTGGAAATATCCCATATTGCGCCACATTGGGGAAATCCAGGTGTATCAGTGGCTCTGCTCTGTGGTGGATTTGCAGAATGCTTTACAGCCCTGCATTCAATGCCTTCACATTGAGCTTGATTATGTAAGGCTAGCAAGCAGCTCCTGCATGCTCTGTTGACTATGTAGAAGGTTGGCAACCTTTGCACGCCTTGCCTTTCAGCCTCTGCCTTACCTCTCCCGGTGGTTTTCCTTGGCCTTGCTGCTGTCATTGCAAAAAAGCATTGTTAAAGCTCTGCATGACCGACAAGCACCAGGAATATTTATGCATCTGTCCTGGCCTGAGCCGTATATAGTCTTATAGCAAATGTCATGGTATGTCTTTAAGTTTAATTTTGCTTTTTATGTCGTCTGTCAGAAGGTGCATTATGATTAGGCAGCTAAATTTACCATGCATGAAGCACACAGAGAGAAAAGGGTCTGTTATTTGAACTTTGAGGGAATTGCTCGGTCAATTTCACTCAAGCAGATATAATTAAACAATCTTTTTTTTTTATAAACAATGCATTTTAAGGATTTCATTTTATTTGATGTTTTTTTTTTTTTTTTTACATATTAGCTGGTAACAACCTCTGATTGCATGCAAAGATTAGCCCTCTCTTCTGGCATTCAATAATGTTTTAGAATTTGCAAATGAAGTCCCTCTTATATATTTACAAAAACATGGAGGTGTACTGCGCACCAGCACGGGGGGGGGGGGGGGGGGGGGGGTGGGGGGGGCACAAAGAAGCCATCTACTGCGGCTAAGACAGTTATCAATAAAGAAAAGTCTAATATCCATTTTAAAAAGAGATACAAAAATATGCGATTACAACAGGGACATAAGAATTAACTCTTTGTATAAAACCTTATTTTTATCATGATTAAATGGCTTTGATTGAACATGTAATGTGACTATTATTCCAGAGGTTGGCTTTTTATTTACATCATGATTTCTCAGATATCCAAATGTTACATTTCTACCAATATGTCAGGAGGCGGAGGAGAAAAATGGTCGGTAGATCGAATAGAGGAAGGAGAGGATGCAGAAAATAAGAGACGAAGCAAACAAGGAAACAGGAAGTCAGAGGAGACAAGGGAAGGAGTTAAGAGATGAAAGACAAGGTGAAACGCAGAGGGAAGAGGTCTGGGAGTTCCTTGGCATCAATCTTCAATGCTCCACCACACTTTCATTACTTCTAGCTCAATGCAGATGAAGGCTCCTCTCACTAAAATGGAACAAAAGTTCATTTGAGAAGTGACCCTCTGTTAGAAGCCCCACCGAGTGCAGACAGCCTCACCGGCCTCCTACTGCAGCTGGGGACACCAACCCTGTTAATACATTTTTATCATTGCTGTCTGCACGCATGGTTTGGCTTTGCAAGGATTCACGGTTTTCTAGTTCTATAATAAAAAAACAGATTATTCCCTTTGTAAGAAAGGAACAATTTTAACGGTAATAAATTACTTTACATCTATTTTCAAATATCCGTTACTGTAAGAATTTACATAGCTGAATAGTGGTTATTTATATTGTTAAAACACTTTACAGTACAGTATTATTATTATTTTTTTTACTCTTCATTATTATGTTATTCTTATTTTTAATGTCCACATTGTGTGACCGTTTTTTTTTATAATATTTTTGCTGTAAACACCAGAATTTCCCCATTTTGGGACAAAAAAAGGGTTTTCTATTCTAAATACAATCGTATAAATGAATGAGAAAAATAATACTTCAATAAATATATTGACACATTAGAAGACGAGCTTTTAGGGTTTGCTTTCCAAAGCAATCTTCCCTCACAGCCTACTTCCTTCCAAGTCAAAGTGCAATCAACCCAAGATGCTGGTTAGACAGCCAAACACGGCATTTAGCATGATGGAGGCAGACAGACATCGAATGAACGCAGGGGAATGTTTTCCTCAAGCATTTAAATCGACAACAACTTCAGCTGCTTTAGTTAAAGGATATGAAACACGCTGTCAATCAAAGCTCTTCTCCTTCCTGCAGCCCCGAGGCAGCAGCAGGAGAAAGGAAACCATCTATTAATATAACGAAGACTAATACATTCCACTTGAAAATAACCTAATAGAGGCTGTCCTCTTTTAGATTTCCTACAGTGGCAGAAATGAGAAAACATACTTCAAATAATTAAAGGTGCAGAAATGACAAAAAGTAACGCAAACATAAAAAACTAGGCATGCAAATTCAAGAATTCGACTGAGACACTAAAGGCTGGTTTATGCTCAGAAAGCCGGTCGTCTGCGTGTCGCAGTGAATGCAGATATGCCCCGCCCCCTTCCGCAGACCCTCTGCTGCACCCTTCCAAAACTGTAGATGGCCGCAGACAGGAGGCCTCCGATTGGTCAGATCTACATCCACTCTACTCTATGCGTATTTCCTCTTTGGTTCCTTACCGGCTGGTTTTGTTTGTCTGACCGCCATTGTGGAAAACGACTGGTGAAGATGGAGCAGCTAGCAGAGCGAGGTGCGCCAGAACGCTGGGACCCTTTTTCCTCCTGGATCCCCGCCCTTTTTGGCCCTCATGTATCTCTGTTGTCGCACAGACTTGCCCCCCCTTCCTCACCGCCTCGGCCGTATCTAGACCCACAGCTAGTTCCTGATTGGCCCTCGGGCGTTGTGGCGTGGAATAACAGCGCAGACCACGCTTCAGTATTGGGCATGAATCAAAAATATATGTGACAAACTGCTGCGGAAGGATAACCAGGCCTGCAATAAGTAAAAAGGAATAAACCTCCAGATAACAGAAGTTCTCCAGACCATTATGGGAAACGATCATGTGCTCAGACTAGAGGGGGTTAAGGGTCTTGCTCACGGACCCAGAGGGGAGGCTGTGGGAGTGGGGTTTGAACTCAGAACCTTAGGATTCAAAGCTCTATGCCTTAAAGGAATA